TGGTAATTTTAGCTTTAAATGCTATTGGAGTGGATAATTGTTTTCTTTGGATGTATAGTATCATGTCTTACACAAATTTGTTCCTTTCATACAGCTAACCATCTGCACAGTCATCCGCTGCTCCTGTGTGCCTTTTTCTAAACAGGTCGTTGGTACATGTTTGCTTCAATATTAAGCTGTAATTTTGGGAAGAAAGCAGCTATACAGTTGGTTAGTTAGTACTAGTTTTCTTTGCAGTTTAGAGATGCCGGGTTTACACCTCACAAACGGCGCGAATTTTCTTTATTAGCTGCCAGTTACGCTGATCAAGAAGTTCACGCCACCGTGCTTTGGTGCAGCCAGTTCAAAAACGGCTATATGTGCGTTTACCTGTGAATAATAGAGACAGCATTTTGCTTCAGCGTGGTTGTGCTGCAATTTTCCTTCACAGATGTAATTAAACAAAAGTTAGCTCAAAGTTTTAATATGAATTTAGTAATAACATGTAAAAAATGCGAGCATACAACTCATGATGAAGTTTTTATTTTGTATAAGATATTTTATACGTTGATGTACTGCGCTGGGGTAATAATTACGACGTAGTGTGACGATTCGCTGAGTAGAATCCGCGTATTTGTCATTGGTATCGATTTTTCTTAACCGGTATTACATACTACTCAATATATACCTCGTTAAGGTTTTTGTCTTTTGTAAACTAGGCACATAGTTCCGTAATGAAGGATAATAGCAGTTAATTTTTTTCCAAAATGCTTGATGCAAGCCTATCGTACACTCAAAAACGGTATCATTGCAATTTAAGTTTCTGTAGCAAAATGCAGCTCCTGATTGTCTGACATCTGGGTGATCAACTCATATGCCTTAAAAAAAGAATAGACTGCAGCGCCTGTTTTTTTAGAAACATTATCATTCATTTCAGTAACAGCCTTCGAAACCTCAAAAAAATTATCTTTACACACGGAACTAGCAAGACAGAAAGTGCTGTGAGCTGTCCTATTTTCAACGGGGTGTTGGCATTCGTTGAGCACTTTTCTTGAAGTTTGTTCACGTGAAACTTTCTTACTTCCATCGTTCGAAATGAACGATTTTTAGGCAGTTAGACACATCTGAAAAACTCCTTACAGATAAATTAATGGTTGTTCGCTAGTAATCGATCACTACCGATTGAGTGTGCAGGCCAAATTGAAATTGCTTGCTTCAATTTGTGGATGAATGATGATGATGATGAATGATGTTATTTTGCTGTTACTGCTTACAATAATTCTGCAAAAACTTGACAACTATTTAATGGGTAAATTTTTTTTGAATGATGGTGGCTAGTTCTGTAACTCGTACTATTTCTGCTTTTGCTGCATCAGCAGTTTAGTTTTGTGTGCTGACTTATCAAATAATGCGTTCGTTTCGTGTACGCAGTCAGCCACAACATTTACTCGTCCGATGGCTTCGTATTTTCAGAAAACGTTTTCTTCCGTTTTCTTGTCTTGCTGTTGACCATGAAATTGTTTACGTGTTTCGGAACAGTTTCGGTTTGCCTTTTGTATTTTGGATAAATCCGCGCGATATGGTCGTTCATAGAGTCCAACTTTTATAATTTCTGTTTCGCTTTGACAAACGTACTAACTGAGACTGAATGTATGTGTTCAAGTCGATTTTCATTATCCGAAGTTCAGATATCCTAGAGAGTTTTGCTCTACAGCCGCTGCTTCCTCAGATTCAGAAATCACCGCTGCGATGGTTGGGCACGTTTAGCGAATGCCTCCAGAAACGCACGCAAAGCCATTTCTACTTGCCCAACCTATCACTAGAAGGTCAAATCAGGTACCAGCTGACGGACAATACCAACATTGGGCATTACAGTTACGATTAATTAATCGTATTATCTATAGTTTGCAACATGTTGTAAGCAAGGGGTCCTATGACGTTGGTCATTCAAAAAAAAATCAGAAGTTTAATTGTTAAAACCGGTAGACAAAGTCGTTTGCTATTTGGATGTGTTGCACGGGACCTGTAACTTCACTGCTTAAAGCTGCTAGGGAAACTGCAGATGTTTGTGAGAAGACTAAGTGCCGAGATTTGCACCTCCCCCTTTTTCATCCCTCTTTACGGATGTGAGAGTCGAAGGCTTGAAGTAATGAAAATTCTTCGATCCCCCGTGTTTTTGGACACCATTTATGAACCATGTGTGAAATGCCGCAATTCATGCCCATTGCAACATTAATCATCATTCTGCTGACCTAAAGGAAGTATGACCGCATTGAGAAAGGAACGTGCTAAGTCTGCCGATTAGATGGTATCGCCCCATTACACAGAGATCTTCGCTGATCCTTGGATAACACCGACAAGGAGATAGACAACGTAGGCTTAATATAGATATTTTGCACAAACCGACGTTGAAGTTTTCCCTGGACCTATATTGTACAGTTACAAACTGAAAGAGAAAGTTGCTGAACTTTGCACTTGATGGTGGCCATCTCGAATGATTGGCAGAGGTGGAAAGCGACGGAGAACAACACCGTGTTAAATTAATTCCAAAATGTTCATAAAACTTTGTTTTATTTATTGACCTGTCCAAACCAATTCGATGTTGCTTCCCTAGCGTGCCTGAGGCTGTTCGTGAAGTTGTTGACACGATATGCTCGAGATTTAGAACCTTCATCGATTTGATGGAGTAAGGTTTTTTGGCAGCAGAAATGTTAGTTCTGATTGACCAGTAACCGGACTGGTCTTATAGTGACGGATCGCTTTCATGGCGAATGCTGGCCACCGTTTTTGACCGCACTTGTCCACCTTCTTTGTTTCTACGCTAATGTAATAAGTTTCATCCATTAAGGCTATCATTTGTAAAACGAACTTAGCTAACTATAACCTAACAGTTTTCCGACGTCGGTTAGAGGCTACCTTATTGCATGTTGTTCGCTGTTAATCAACTATTGTATTTGTATTACATTTAAATGGCTTTCATTTGTGGATTTTTTTCTAAATAAAGTAATTCAAAATTAATACTTATACTGGTAACAGTCGTAACTATTCTACCATAATTGTATTAAATGGTGTAGCTATAATAAATTATTAGCATTCATGTCGATGTTTAAGCGAGAACTGGCGATCAGAAGGAGTCGTTCCTTTTTATGAAAAAGGAGCTGCTTGTGCGACTAGCGAACACGATGAAGGAAATCGAACTGCTTCCAGAGCCATTGTTGAACACGCTTTCGTTGAAGATTGTTAACGGCTGGTTCATACAGAGCTTTTGCGACTTGCTAAAGTTCGATAAAATGGACACAACAGAAGAAAACTTTCTCATGTAAGCACATTTCATCTGCTGCTGATGGCAAACAGTTAAGAAACTCGGGAATGATATCCTAAATTATGCTGAATTTCCGCTCTGATTTTTTTTGGTAAGGCACCGATTCCGCGCAAAGTAATCACTATCTCTTAGCACT